GCCTGGCCATTTTTTGGTTGCAGCCATCATTGTTGTTTGGCGGGCCCGGGCTGGGGATTCGAACCCGCCAGCTTAGGTGTATGTGGCTGGCGCCTTAGCCGCTTGAGCCACAGGCGCCGAGCCAGAAGTGAATTTCTTAAAGTGGTGGTTTTATCAGTGGCATATATAGCCCTGACTCACTGAAAATGAAGGTGGCTTCTCTTCATTTCTTTCATCCTTTTTCTGACTATTAAGTTGACCTTTTTTTCTTTTGTTTTTTACATTGAGTCTAAGATGTATAGTTTCCCTCTTAAGGTCAAAAACATTTCAACATCAGTCTTCTAAAATAAAACAACATTCCATTATAAGAATGCTGTTATTTTTTCCTGACCCCATAAACACCCTGCAATTTATTTCTTCCCTTATTTAAAAATAAAGGGGAAAGACAGCTTTATAGTGGAGACACCTGGGAGATATCACTGTACTCAAGTGATCAGATTTATGATATAATGGAACAAACATCATTTTGTATCTTCTCCCTTCAATGATTCAATGGCATGTATACCATATCATATGTAGTACCAAGAATTTTCCTTAATTATTATGATAAATATCAATATCTAGAATAACCCTAGCATCAAAATTATTATATGACCAATAACAAATTTATTAATATATTTAGTGAATAAATTTTAGCCTAAGAATAAAATAGTATTGATTCTCACACAGTTATATATTCCAAATATATTATTTGTAATGAAAACACTTCAAAATTGTAAAAAGCATACCTGGTATTTGGCTAATTCTGCTTGTAATACTTTTACTTTAGATCTTTCTTGTTCTAATGCAGCATGAAGTGAAGTCACCTATAACCAGATAGTAAATAAGGAAAAGACAGCTTTTGTCTTTGTTGGCAAATTCTCTCTTATTTATTTTTTTGGTGACAGGATCTCACTGTGTTGAACGGTCTAGAGAATGCAGTGGCATCATCACTGCAACCCTAAATTCCTGGATTCAAGTGATCCTCTTACCTCAGCCTCCCATATACACCACCATGCCCAGCTAATTTTTCTATCTTTTGTAGAAATAGCGTCTCACTATTGCTCAGGCCGGCCTCAAACTCCTGGCCTCAAGCAATCCTCCTGCTGTGGCCTCCCAAACGCTTAGCTGCAAAAACTCTAATTCTTAAGACGATTACAATGATGATTTTTGACAGCTAAATGATGAGTTGGAGAAAAGAAACCCTTCCAATAATTTCCACTAGGTATTGTACAAAGCTTATGTTAAAGATGGATAGAACAAACTTACTGTCCTAACGGAAGACATAAGAATGTGAAAGGGACAAAATCAAGTCCAGGTACAGGATAAGTTCTAGCTGTCCTTTCTGTCTCTATATTTAAGGTCCATAAAAATACAACCTTAAGCCAGGTACAGTAGCTCACACCTGTAATCCCAGCACTCTGGGAGGCCGAGGTGGTGGCCTGCCTGAGCTCAAGAGTTCGAGATCAGGCTCGGCGCCTGTGGCTCAAATGGCTAAGGCGCCAGCCACATACACCTAAGGTGGCGGGTTCGAATCCCCAGCCCGGCCCGCCAAACAACAATGATGGCTGCAACCAAAAAATGGCCAGGCGTTGTGGCGGGCACCTGTAGTCCCAGCTACTTGGGAGGCTGAGGCAGGAGACTCGCTTGAGCCCAGGAGCTGGAGGTTGCTGTGAGCGTGATGCCATGGCACTCTACCCAGGGGATAGCTTGAGGCTCCGTCTCAAAAAAAAAAAAACGAGATCAGCTCTGAGCTAGAGTGAGACCCCTATCTCTAAAAATAGCCGGGTATTGTGGCGGGTGCTGTAGTCCCAGCTACTTGGGAGGCTGAGGCAAGAGAATTGCTTGAGCCCAAGTGTCTGTGTGAGCTATGACGCCACGGTACTCTACCCAGAGCAACAAAGTGAGACTCTGTCTCAAAAAACAAACAAACAATATTATCTTCGTCATTCTTCAGAACATACCTATCTTCCTTAGTACAATAAATGGAATCTTTATTTGCTATTACATGATTAATAATAAAGCATAATTTATATCATTTTCTTGCAGCACTGTTCCTTTATGTTTAGTATTTCAAGACTAAAGAACAGCTTAAGAAAAGCAGTCATGCATGCTCCATAATTCCTTACCTGTATAGTTAGCTCATTCTTGATACTCTGTGATTCATCCACTTGCAGAAGTATTTCTGCTTTATCTTTCACTGATAAAAAAGGAAAAACAGGAGTATAGTCTTTTCAGTTACTCAAATACTTTAACAATACTTTAGTAAACCAAGGAATAGCAGTGCGGTTAGAAGAATTTCTCATCTTTATGCTTTATGAATATACTTCTTAACCTTATATATCCCTTATTTTTCACTGATAAATTCTTTTTTTCTTTCAGAGACAGAGTCTGCTCTGTCTCCATGGCAGGGGTGCAGTGGTACAATTATAGCTCACTGCAACCTCAGACTCCTAGAGGCTCAAGCAATCCTCATGCCTCTGTCTCCCAAGTAAGCTGCATACCACTACACTTGGCTCATTTTTGCACTTTTTTTTGTAGAGATGGGTTTCACTATGTTGTCCATCCTGATCTCAAATTCCAGGCCTCATGCAATCCACCCACTTTAGCCTGCCAAAGTGCTGGGATTGCAGGTATGAAATACTATGCTTGGCCTCTTTAGTTTTTAAGTTTTAACCAGTAAATTCTGATTGTTACTGTCATCATGGCAATTTTTCTTTTCTTTTTTTTAGGGAGACAGTTTCATTTTATTGCCCTCGGTAGAGTACCATGGTGTCACAGCTCACAGCAACCTCTAACTCTTGGGCTTGGGCTCAAGCAGTCCTCTTGCCTTAGCCTCCTAAGTAGCTGGGACTACAGGCACCTGCCACAATGCCCGGCTATTTTTTAAGAGACCAGATCTTGCTCTTGCTCAGGCTGGTCTCGAACTCCTGAGCTCAAGCAATCCACCCACCTCAGCTTCCCAGAATACTAAGATTATAGGCATAAACAACACACCTGGCTTGCAATTGTTTTTAAAAAATTTACATTTTCTGTGATGTTAAAATATTAATTGCACAGATAGGATGAAAGTTAATTTTCACATCTATAGTAAACAGGACAAGGATATAAGAAAATAAAAAATTTCACACTGAAAAAAACTATAATGCTGGGCATGGTGGCTCATGCCTACAATTCTAGCACTCCAGGAGGCTGAAGCAGGTAGATCACTTGAGCTCAGAAGCTCAAGACCAATCTGAGCAAGAGTGAGACCTGGTTTGTACTAAAAACTACTGGCTGGACTTCATGGTGGGCCTGTAGTGCCAGCTCCTTGGGAGGCTGAGTCAAGAGGATGGCTGGAGCCTAAGAGTCTGAGGTTGCTGTGAACTATCCTGCCATGGCACTCTATTCAGGGTGACACAGTGAGATCATCTCAAGAAAAAAAGATTTAAAAAATAGCGTAGAATGATTTTTTATTTAACTGCTGGGGGTGCACATACTTTAAGGACAACAAATTTATTATTCTCTGACTTTTCATAAAACAATGTCAAATAAATATAGCTCATTTGATCATAACTCATAATACCTGTGACCTCTTACCTCTTAGAACTATTTGTCTAATGGTTTTTCCCTCTTTGAAGGAAAGAGAGAAAAACTCTGGCCCCTTTGTTTCCTAGGCTTTAGAAATTTTTGCTCAGCAGAGAACCTCCTTAACCAGTGGTAATGGCTAATGCATGAAAAGCTAACTCTTTGTAAACAAGCTGGGAAAGACTGAAGAAGTAAAATTGTAATAAAATTAGCAAAGAAGGCAATGTTCAAATACATGAGTACTGATATTACCACCACTCTGCCAATGTAACCTTGCAATTCAATCTTTTTTTTTTAAGAGACAGAGTCTCATTATGTCTCCCTTGAAAGAGTGCCGTGGCATCACAGTTCATAGCAACTTTAGACCCTTGGGCTTAAGTGATTCTCTTGCCTCAGCCTCCCAAGTAGCTGGGACTACAGGCACCCGCCACAACACCCGGCTATTTTTTTTTATGATGTAGTTATCATTGTTGTTTAGTGGGCTGGGCCAGGCTTGGACCCACCAGCCTCAGTGTATGTGGCCGGCACCCTACTCACTGAGCTACGGGTGCCGAGCCTCAATTCAATTTTTTTCATACTTTAGTATGATGCTCAGTAAGATGATACGCTGTGTCAAGAATCAACTCATGGTATCTTAATAATCAATGTGAGAACTTGTACAAATTGTACTTTCTCTTCCTCTACCCTCCAGGTTTATATGCATTTTGTAAAAACTAGTGATTTTTAATAATTTATCTAATAGTTAAATTATAGTCAGTTTTCCCATAATGCCTATTTTGAAAACACAAATTTAATTCAATGAGGTTGATATATCAGGGAATAACTAAACATAAAACAAATTTTCGTCCATGGCAAGCATAATTTCACAAACACAGAAAACTGCGCGTAGGCCTACACCTCACATATCTACCAGTTATCAGTTGGTGTTGTAATTGCCCATCCTTCCACCATGTGACAGTGACACACAGCTACAACCCTTCTGAAGCCTACCTCCCCACAAGCAAGCTCCAGGGTTTCCTCAAGGTAAATTGCCATTTTTATGTAATATTTATGCATTTAACCATTTTAACATGTATAAAGCTGTTTCTGTTTTTATTGAGTTCCTATCTTTTTTAGATGTGTTGCTGTTAAGGTTTTTGTGTCCAGTGTTCCTACTCCCATTTTCCTGAGTCATGTGATTTTTTTTTTTTTTTTGAGACAGAGCCTCAAGCTGTCCCCCTGGGTAGAGTGCCATGGCATCACAGCTCACAGCAACCTCCAACTCCTGGGCTCAAGCGAGTCTCCTGCTTCAGCCTCCCAAATAGCTGGGACCACAGGCACCTGCCACAACACCTGGCTATTTTTTTTTTTGGTTACAGCTGTCATTGTTGTTTGGCGGGCCTGGATTTGAACCTGTCACCTTAGGTGTATGTGGCTGGCGCCTTAGCCACTTGAGCCACAGGCACCGGGCCAAGTCATGTGCTTTTAACTGTGAGATTTTACAGAGGCTGGTGAGTTTTAGGAATGCATGTTCATGCTGCATTATAACAGAACTGACTGTACTTATACTTATGTTATAAATGTAGAACATGATGAGTATTTTCATGTAATGATTCTACTCTGGATTACTTATGGTGTGGACTACAGACACTGATGCTAATTACTGATAGTTATTTTTAATCTATTATTGAGAGCAACCTTCAAAGTGAGTTAACCTTCTCACTTTCTATAACAGTTTATTAGTGGGGAATGTCACTTTTATCTATTTAGAATTCATATATTGTCTAATGATACTCTTCACTTCTTCAATTAGAAATATATCCTCTAAACATTTTCTTTTTCTTTTTGTAGTTTTGTTCCTTAAAGGACCCACATGGAAATCAGTAACATGCACAGTTCTAAACTAATCTCAGGATGTTAACATCTAAATGTCAAATTATTCTTTAATCTCTATTTCATCATAGTTAAGTAATATAATAGTTAACTTATAAAAAATGTGAATTTGACTCTACGTTAAGACTATACACTATGTTGAACTGGCCATGATTTCTGTTTTTTTTAATTTTTTTTATTTTTAAAGATAATAATTACTTTTATTCAGGTATACCTCCATTTTGTAGACAAATGTAGCTTTACTGCCTCAACTTCACAAATAAAACTAGTTAAGACTTGTACAATGTTCTCTGAGACTACTCACAGACACTGGACTAGAGAACAAGAAACCAGGGACCAATTTCTGGTTTTCATTCATATCAATTTGATAACTGTTGTTTTATAATATACTTCAAATTTTGGTTGAGATAGTTCTACTGACAGTACAGTCATCCCCCCCCCCCACCCCAATCTGGGGGATTGGTTCCAGGACCTCCCAAGGATATCAAAATTTGAGGATATAAAATGGCATAGTATTTGCGTATAACTATGCATATCCTAATTTATGCTCTAAATTATCTCTAGATTACTTATAATATCCAATACAATTTAAATGCTATGTAATGGTTATTATACTGTATTATTTAGGGAATAATTCCCATAAAAATATCTGTACATATTCAACATAGCTGCAATTTAAAAAAATTTTTGATCTGTAAGTTTTTGAATCTATAGATGCAAAAATCCACAGATAAAGAGGGCTAACTTTACCTTCACATCTGAATACAACTATTGGAAGCAATTATTGCTTCAGTGCGAGTTTCACATTTTCTTTTTCTTTTCTTTTTTTTTTTTTTTTTGCTGTTTTTGGCTGGGACTGGGTTTGAACCCACCACCTTTAGGATTTCATTAGCCTTTATTATTAGGAAAATTATTTCTTATATTTAATCTATTCAGATGATTTTTTCATTCATTTATATCTACATGTTTTTCGAGGTTTGTAACTTTTTTGAATAAATATCATATTAAAAGTTAATACATATTTCCTTTTCTGTTATGTTAAAATGAGGAACACAACTGATTTGAGGGGCTTTCAAGTAACATCAACTGTACTAATCTTATCATCTCTAATCATTTTGGGGTTGATTTCCTTGGCATCCTAATTGGTGATCTCTTGTCAAAAGTTTAGAATGGCAGCAAAAGTATGAAGAGTTCTAGGGTAGAGAAAAAGGAAAGAAGGAAATAAGAAAGAAAACCTAAAAGTGATGACAGGCCACCTTGCTCTAATAACTAAAAACAGACCCCTAAGTGAATGTTATACTTGTTTTCCCTTTAAATATAGTTCAGTAATTTATAGGAATTAAAATTTTACGTTTCTTTTACCTGAATAGTCATAAACTAAGGTATAAAACTGAGGTGCTCTAAGAGTGACTTGTAACAAAAACATCATCAGCTTATGATACTAATATATATAGCTTATATCACTCTATGAAGCCTTTTTATTTTGAGCTTTTTCCAATTCTTTTTTTTTTTTTGAGACAGAGCCTCAAGCTGTCACCCTGGGCAGAGTGCTGTGGCATCACAGCTCACAGCAACCTCCAACTCCTGGGCTCAAGCGAGTCTCCTGCCTCTGCCTCCCAAGTAGCTGGGACTACAGGTGCCCGCCACGACGCCCGGCTATTTTTTGGTTGCAGCTGTCATTGTTGTTTGGCGGGCCCGGGCTGGATTCGAACCCGCCAGCTCAGGTGTATGTGGCTGGTGCCTTAGCTGCTTGAGCCACAGGAGCTGAGCCTTCAATTCTTTTTTATTGATACATAATAATTATACATATTTGTGGATATATGTGATATTTTGATACATGCATTATGATGTTTAATGATCAAATCAGAGTATTTAGGATCTTCATCATCATACACTTCTCATTTCTTTGTGTTGGGTATATTTCAAATCTTCTCTGCAAGCTATTTTGAAATATGTAAATTACTGTTAACTACAGTTGACCTACTAAGGTCTTGAACACTATTTTTTGAGTTGATAAATCACATATTTGAAAAAACATCTTCAGATATTATTTAAGATTCTAAAAACATACAAATCACTTACTTTCACCTTCCTGAAGCATTTTCAGTAACTGTGCATTTCTTGCCTTTACTTCTTTATACTTTGCCTAATAGTCAAAGGAAAAAGATTTAATTTTTTAAAAAGTAAATGATAAATTAATGATTTACTATCAATTTATGTGAATTCTAGGCTTACTCAAAGACATAAACTACTATGAAAGAAACAAGATGGAAGAAATATAATCAGCACTACCTACTTAAATCCCTGGCACAATAATAGAAATTACTGTTGTTAAGTGATTAAAAATTTAAGAGAAAAGGGATAAAATTGGAGAAAAATCAGTATAATACTAACTTTCCTAAAGTCTTCCTCTTTTTGTTCTCAAATAAACCCTTAAGGAATTCAAAATAATTTAGATGAAAAGCAAAAGAAAAATGATTCAACATTCTAAATCAGTACTATCTAGTAATATTGTACAACTTTCTATATTATCTGTTCTATATTTGCCACTGTCCAGTATGTGCCTACAGAATCCTAGAAACTATGCTAGTGTGACTGAGAAAATACCTTTTTAATTTTATTTGACCCTTATTTATTTATTTGAGACAGTCTCTTACTATGTCACCCTCAGTAGAGTGCCATGGTGTCACAGTTTACAGCAACCTCAAACTCTGGGGCTTAAGCAATCTTGCCTCAGCCTCCCATAGTAGCTGGGACTATAGGTGCCCGCCACAATGCTGGTTATTTTTTGGTTGTAGTTGTCACTGTTTGGCAGGCCCAGGCTGGATTTGAACATGTCAACTCTGGTGTATGTGGCTGGTGCCCTACATGCTTATCTACAGGTGCTGAGCCTATTTGACCCTAATTTAAATTATGATAGACTTGCAGTAGTTATTGAGTTTTACAGTACAGTTCTCTACCTTCTCAGTTAAGGTTCAATTAATCTTTTGCTATTTCCTTGATTAGTAATTATTACTATAGTAATTTTTAGTTGATGTAAATGAGCAATTTACTAAATATCTTTCAACTCTTTTTCAACTTCTTTTTCCAAATGGCTTAGCTTCCTCTGACACTACATAATGACATATATGTTATGAAAAGAGGAACTGTGTTCCACATTAACATCCATATTCTAAGCAATCTTCTACCTACATTAGGATTCAACAAGTAACACTCTAAATTATTTATAGAGATGTAATACATTAATACATTAGAGAAAAAAAATACATTTACTGTATTATATATTATAGAAAAACAAAAGCCTAAAGAAAACAGATCAGTATAAGAAACTTGTCATTTTAACCTGTCTGCACTGTTACATGTGCAGAGCCCAGAAAAGTATCTGGCATATTACAGGCACTCAATAAGTTATTTTTGGTTAATGATAATGATATTGTTATAAGTAACTATTATTAATAATACTAGTCAAAAAATGATACTTAAGATGAATAACAGATTAAAAAAGGTTTTTTTTTTTTTTTGAGACAGAGTTTCACTCAGTCGCCCTGGGTAGAGTGGTATAACATCATAGCTCACAGCAACCTCAAACTCTTGGGCTCAAGTGATTCTCTTGCCTCAGCCTCCCAAGTAGCTGGGAATACAGGCACCTGCCACGACACTGTGCTAGTTTTAGTGGAGAAAGGGTCATGCTCTTGCTCAGGATGGTCTCAAACTCTTGAGCTCAAGCAATCTACCTGTCTTGGCCTCTCAGACTGCTAGGATTACACATGTGACCCATGATGCCCAGCGCCCCCCTCCCCCCAAAACGATTTTCTGAAAAGCCTAAAGGAAGAGAGAGTAATGGACCTGTAGTTGAAAATAAATTGTATACAAAACAAATGTTGGTAAAAATGTGGAGTAATTGGAACCCTCATTCATTGTTGGTGGAAATGTAAAATAGTGTGGTTGTTATGAAAATAATTTGGTAGTTGCTCAAAAAGTTAAACAGACTTGCTGGGCATAGTGGCTCATGCCTGTAAACCCAGCACTCCGGGAGGTTGAGATAGGTGAATTGCTTGAACTCAGGAGTTTGAGACCAGCCTAAGCAACAGTGAGACTCCATCTTTACTAAAAATAGGAATATGACAAAATCTAGCAATTCCACTCTTAAACTGTGGACTCAGATACTTGTGTACAAGTGAACAAAATTTGATATGTATGTACAATGAATGAAATTCTGAAACATGCTACAACACGGATGAACCTTGAAAACATTATGCTAAGTGAAAGAAGCCAGACACAAAAGGGTAAGTATTACTCTGATTCCACCTATGTGAAGTACCTAGACTAGGCAAATTCATAGAGATTATAGGTACCAGGGGCTAGGGAAGATAAAAACTGGGGAGTTGTTCAATGGGTACAGAATTTTTGTTTGAGATAATGAAAAAGTTCTGGAAACAGATAATGGTGATGGTTATACAATATTGTGAAGATACTTAATGCTATTGAAGTGTATACTTAAAATGGTTATGTCATATGTATTTTATAACAATAAAAAATACTGCATGAAAACTGTACCTCATTAAAATTGATTTTATAAAAACAAATTATGTTATCATTCAGACTTGAAATCATTAATCAAAGGGTTTAAAAACGTAAATAGCAAAAAAAAAAAAAAACTTAAAGTTAGGAAAATCCTAAATAGTAGAATAACTGTTTCTACCAACTGAATATTAAAAATATTTACATATTAGAAAACAGAAAATGCAGAAATGTATCAAATTATTTTCTTGTGTAAATGGACACAAACCTCCCATTGAGTGATGACATTTTTTAGCTTCTGGATTTCAGCATCCTTCCTTTCCAGTTCCAACTTTAGTCTTTCAATTCTTCCATCTTTCAGAACCACTTCCTAAAAAGTGAAAAATGCTATTTATTTTAGAACTAAGATCATTCTGTCAAGCTTGGTTTACAATATTCCTTTATGAAAAGTTTAAGAGGGAAATTGTGATTTTAATTTTCTTTTATTTATTTATTTATTTTGCAGTTTTTGGGCCAGGGCTGGGTTTGAACTTGCCACCTCCAGTATATGGGGCTGGCGCCCTACTCCTTTGAGCCACAGGTGCTGCCTCTTGATTTTAATTTTCTAAGGCAACCTTAAACTGTTGACTACATTTCCACTTTGTCTCATATACTCCAATTATGTACAGTGCAAGCAAATAAAATATTTGTTACTCTCAGACTACAAACATACCCTAAAACAATCTCAGGGCTTCAAATGAATGCATTAGTGCTCTGTCTTGTATATCCAAAAGAATTGAAAAGTACCTTAAAACTACAAAATAAATTATAAGAAATACAAAACCCAATAATAAATAGTTTTCTGTATTAGCAATTAATAGCTAGGAGACATAACTAGAAAAATAATTTACTCCCAACAGCAACAAAAAATACTCAGAACAGTGGAGTCCGTACTTCAGTGGGTAGGGCTCTGGCCACAGACACCAAGGCTGGCGGGTTCAAACACAGCCCGTGCCAGATAAAATGACAACTGCAATAAAACAAATGGCCGGGTGCAGTGGCAGGTGCCTGCAGTCCTAGCTGCCTGGGAGGCTGAGGCAAGAGAATCACTTAAGTCCAAGAGTTTGAGGTTGCTGTGAGCTGTGATGCCACCCTATCCAGAGCGACAGCTTGAGATTGTCTCAAAAAAAAAAAGAAAAACAGAAAAATGAAATTAAGAAATCTTTATGACCTATACTAAGAGAACCACAAAATTTGAAAATGATGTAGAACAAAGTATGTTTGTTGACAGGAAGGCTAAACATTACTTTGTATGTTCAATAAAATTTCAGTTGAAATTCCAATAGGACTTTGTGCTTGGAACTTAGTAAAGACTTCATCTGGGAGAATACAGAATGTAGACAAATAAGAAGTTAATTTGATGACAAGGGATTTGCTTATCAAATAATTATATACTATAAAGCAAAAATAAATAAAAGAGTATGGTCATGGCACCTAGGTTGACAAAGCAACGTACCAGAAAAGAAAGTTCACAAAGAGACTTGACATATAAGAATTTACTCTAATGGGCTCGGCGCCTGTGGCTCAAGTGGCTGGGGTGCCAGCCACATACACCTAGGGTGGCGGGTTCGAGTCCAGCCCGGGCCTGCCAAAACAAGAGTGATGGCTGCAACCAACAGATTGCAGGGCGTTGTGGCGGGCGCCTGTGGTCCCAGCTACTTGGGAGGCTAAGGCAGGAGGCTCGCTTGAGCCCAGGAGTTGGAGGTTGCTGTGATACCACAGTCCTCTACCCAGGGGGACAGCTTGGGGCTTTGTCTCCAAAAAAAAGAATTTACTCTAATGTAAAGATAATATTTTTTAAAAGTCAGAAAAGACTAAATTACAGAATGATATGTTACAGAAAAAATGGCTAGCTGGGAAAAATCAAGTTAAGCCTCTGTCTTCTTGCACCATATACCAAAACAAATAACCCCAAAGCCATATTTTAATAAAAATATAAATTGGTTCTATTTATCTAAGGCATTATGTAGCAACAGTAACAAATTCCACAAATACTGACCATCTAACTGCTAGGTGCTGGGTGTACAATGGTTAACAGAACTGAAAAGATTCTTGCCTTCATGAGACTTTTCTGGTGAAGGAGACAAATATTACATAAACAAATGTTGTTATTAGAAACCAAGGTTTAATCTATGAAGAAAGGAAATACAAAACTCTTTACACAAAACTATAAAGAGAATAATGTGGATTATTCCCTTGTGGATTAGGTAGTGACACTTAAGATGAACCTCGAGTGATGGGTAGAAATTGGCTAAGTAAAAAGTAGAGAAAAGAGCTTTTTAGGTAGAAAAAACAGTATGTTTAAGGCCCTGGGGCAGGAAATGGCCAGGAGAATTTAAAGAAAAGAAGAAGGTAGTGTTGTTGGAGGGTAGGGAGGGAGAAGATGGTACAAGATGACCTTAGAGCAAGTGGTAGAGGCTTGATGTCACAGGATCTTGTAGGCTATCAGAACAGTCTGCATATTAGTCAAAGTAAAATGGAAAGCATTTAAAAATCCTGAAGGATTTTAAACTGGAATGTTTGATTTATAAACATTTATGTTAGACTTACATTTTTAAAGAATCCCTTTGCATGTTGAAGACAGGTAAAAAGATACCTTTCATTGCCACTACAAACCCAGATCAGATGAGATTATGCCTTTGGATTATGATGGAAGCAAGTAAAAGAAGCATATCTTAGAATAATTTGGAGGGAGAATCACCTGCATTTAATGAGAGCCTGAATGTGGTAAATGAAGAAGATGGACACTGCAATCCAAGTTTCTAGTTCAAGGAATAGGTATTTCTAATCTTTAGACTATTTCTAATTAGGATATTTCTAATCTTTAGATTATATGAAAATATAATACTATAAAGAATCTCACTTTTAGGAACTAATCTCAAATAGATAAGTGAGGAAAGGAAGTATCTATGCAAGTTTTCACTGTAGATCTATCACCAAAAAATGCACATTAATTTAAATGCCAAACAATAGAATACAGGCTAAGTAACATGATAAATTCACAAAACTAAAAAATATGAAGTCAACAAAAATAATATAGAACTATAAAATATGTTTGCATGACACCAACATTATAATGATATGTGCAAAGGAAAAATTCTGGAAGAACATACAACAAAATTTTAATAACTATTTTGGACATGGAATTACAAAGGAGTTAATTTTATTGTTTAAATCTTCCTTTTATCAAAATCATTTTATACTGAGTATATTATCATGAAATAACAAAATAGTATTTTACTTTTTTTTTGAGACACAGCAACCTCAAACTCCTAGGCTCAAGCAATCCTGCCTCAATTTCCCAAGTAGCTGGGACTACAGGGGTACGCTACCAAGCCCAGCTAATTTTTTTCCATTTTCAGTAGTGACGGGGTCTAGTTTTTGCTTAGGCTGGTCTACAAATCCTTGAGCTCAAAGGATCCTTCCACCTTAGCCTCCCACAGTGTTAGAATTACAAGCTTTAGAAACTGTGCCTGGGTAGTATTTTACTTCAGAAAATAAAGAGAATCATGTAAGTATTTTTAAAAATATAGCTGAGTATGACTATCATCTTTGAATAGAAAAGTCCTTCTGACACTGGCATCAAATAGCACTAACAAAATCAAGAGGTAAATGAAAAACTGGGAAAATTAGTTGTAACCACTATACAGACATGTGGCCAAAAACTTGATAAAATGTAGCAAGTAAAGTGATGTTTTATCAAATTGGTATGTTTAAAAAAGTTTTTTCTCAGTGTGGATAACTGAAGGCAATTTAGCTAAAAAAGGGAATTATCTAATGTATAGGAATTACTTAATGTCGTAACATGCTGACCATCTGTATTTAACTAAAACAGCTGTCTATACAACAATTTCTACCTTGCTGTTTTTATACACCCATAGAAAAGTGGGGCTTCACTGAAACATAAATACTGTAGTTGTTTTCTCTAAGTGAGTGAGATTAGGGTCATTGTTTTCCCACTACATCTGCAAATTGGGGATATAATGGTACCCCCAACTTCGTAGTTAATTGTTAAAAATTAAATGAGGGCATGCCTTTTCATGCCCTTTACGTCTTTAATATAATGCCCAGCATATACATATAAGGCCTTAAATGTTTATTTCTGCCATTATCATTTCTTCATTTTACTTATCGGTAGCTTCCAAAATTTCTACAATAAACATCATTACTTTTTTTTTTTTTGAGACAGAGCCTCAAGCTTTTCCCCCGCCCCCGGGTAGAGTGCTGTGGCTTCTCAGCTCACAGCAACCTCCAACTCCTGGGCTCAAGCGAGTCTCCTGCCTCAGCCTCCCAAGTAGCTGGGACCACAGGTGCCCGCCACAATGCCCAGCTATTTTTTTTATTTTGGTTGCAGCCATCATTGTTGTTTGGCAGGCCCAGGATGGATTCAAACCCGCCACCTTGGGTGTACGTGGCTGACGCCTTAGCCACTTGAGCCACAGGCACCAAGCCAACATCATTACTTTTTAAAACAGAAAGGCATTTTCCTTTTTAGAGACAGAGTCTCACTTTGTCACCCTCAGTAGAGTGCCATGACATCACAGCTCACAGCAACCTCCAGCTTTTGGGCTTAGGTGATTTTCTTACCTCAGCCTCCTGAGTAGCTGGGATTACAGGTGCCCGCCACAATGCCCAGCTATTTTTTTGTTTCAGTTTGCCTAGGACCAGGTGTGAACCTACCACCCTCGGTATATGGGGCCGGCACCCTACTCACTGAGCCACAGGCACTGCCCAGAAAGTCATGTTTTAATGTATACTCATTTTTAATGAAGTCCTATATTTCAATAAATACATTTTTAAAATTATCTTCTAAATAGAAGATACTATACTAAAATGGGATAAAGCATGCATAAAAGTCCCACGAGGGACTTGCAACCTATTAAGAATGCTAAGAAAAAATGTGCTAGTGAAATATGGCATAAGTAAAACAAGTTATTATGGGGCATCAAGAAAGGAAAGATTGTATCCAGGTTTTCTGTTTCTAGTGTTTGGGGTAGTGAGAAAAAACTTCAGGGAGGAGGTGACATGTGAAATGAACCTTGAGTAAACCTGTGAAGGGCCTAACATTCTAAAGTGGTCTGCCCCAGCTACAAGAAAATTTGGAAGTATACATACAGTTAATTAGGTTGAGGCTATACTGCAGAACAATGCTTTCAAAGACATTTCACAATGACCCCTTGACAAGAATGTTTTATACATATCATGACCTAGAATGCACATACATGTTAGTATATGTACATATGTATGTATATATGTTGTACATGTATATACAGACACATGAATATACAGAAATAAATTTCATAAATTATAAATATGTGTCACATACTCTAATGTTTGCTCCTGTCCCTTTTTTTTTTTTAGACAACAGTCTTGCTGTGTCGCCCTCAGTAGAGTGCCATGGTGTCACAGCTCACAGCAATCTCAAACTCTTGGGCTTAAGCAATTCTCTTGACTCAGCCTCCCATGTACCTGGAATTACAGGCACCTGCCACAATGCCTGGCTATTTTTTGTTGCAATTGTCATTGTTATTTAGCTGGCCTGGGCCAGGTTAGAACCTGTCAGCCTTGGTGCATGTTGCCAGCGCACTGTGCTACAGGAGCCAAGTCATGTCCCAATTTTTTTGTAATCATCTACTAAAGTTGATTTTAGAGCCTATCAAATGGGTTAGGAAACTCAATTTGAAAAGCACAGCCAAGAGATTTAAATTGAAGTTAAGGACATTGTATATGTACTTAATCAATAGACACTGAAGTTTAAGGGTCAAACATAGCATGGTAAAAATCATGCTTTAGAAAAAGGCATCTGTGGCTCGGCGCCTATAGCTCAACCGGCTAAGGCACCCAGCCACATACACCTAAGGTGGCGGGTTCGAATCCCCAGCCTGGACCCGCCAAACAACAATGACGGCTGCAAACAAAAAAAAAAAAAAAATAGCCGGGTGTTGTGGTGGGCGCCTGTCGTCCCAGCTACTTGGGAGGCAGAGGCAGGAGACTCGCTTGAGCCCAGGAGTTGGAGGTGGCTGTGAGCTGTAATGCCACGACACTCTACCCAAGGGGACAGCTTGAGGCTCTGTCTCAAAAAAAAAAAAGAAAAAAAAAGAAAAAGGCATCTGTTAGCAGTGTTTAAGATAAATTACCTGCCACTAAGTCTTAATTAAATTACATGTATATGAATTCATGAATAATATATTACATTTTCTATTTTTTATAATTATGTAAATTATATCAAACTAGTATTTGATGACTTTATTTTCATTAAATGTTACATTCTTGATATTCATCCATGTTGCTATGTAACTATAGCTCATTCATTTCTCCTACTGATTTGTTATTACCAACAACTGAGTTTTGAACATTCTTCTTGAACACGTCTCCAGGGTTTAATCTAGGGGTAGAAGAATTTCTAGAACATAGGTTAGGCCCATCATCTTCAACTTCAAAAGTTAATATCATATTATTTGCCAAAATGGTTATTTATTTATATTTCTACTAGTGGTATGTTATGTTGTTCTATTTCCTTACTAATACTTAGTATAATCTTTACCTTCCCCTTCTGTTTTTCCTAGATACTTCAGTGAAACTAACATTACCATTTAAAACTCTGTTCTCTGCTCAAAATTCTTCAAAAATTCTTTACTGTTTACTGACTAATTATAAGCCAGGCTTTAAGATCCTCCTCAATCTTTTCCAACCTACCTAATCAAATTTATACTACATTCTTCTATGAACTTTGTTTTAATTAAACTGGTTTATACTTCACTGTCTCCATACTTTTACTCAAGGCATTCCAGTTTTCTTCTTCCTTACCTCTGTATGTTTAAATCTTACTTTCTTACATTTCTAATTCAAGTGCTATTTTCTCCTCACAAAGCCATCTCTGATCCCCATTCCTGTAAATTACTATAGTACTTTATCAGTATGTCCTTTTGCCTGCACTAAATAATTATCTATTAGATGCATTGTGTACAACATGCTGTGCAAAAGACTTTGCTCATAATTGCTAACTTTCCTAATTTGTAGTAACAGCATGAGAAAGGCAAGTATTTCATTCCAACATAACACAGCTGATTAGCTACAGAACTATGATTTGTTATTGGGCTTGTCTGATTTTAAAATCTATTCTTTTCCACTATAGTACACTATCACTTTGGTTTTATTATACTAATATCATTAATAATAGCTAATTATTTAGCTAAACATATATACTCAATTTTGCAAGGGCTTGGGGTATCTTAAGTATTTGCTGAAATATATTAACATCACTCCTTCTATCCAAAAATGATCTGAGATGGTTTAAAAAATAAGATATGGACTGTATGAAGGGGAAAATTATAATCAACGAAAATGGGGGAAGAGGATAAACTAACCAAAATGGTAACAGGGTTGCTTGGACTGTACATAAAATTTGGCAGTCAAAGCAAGACAGGAAAATATTAAATTTAATGCCAGAAAGAAAGAAGCTCACAAATACCTCAGAGTAGGCAAAGATTTCCCAATACTAAATTGAAAACAGATTTTCACATGGAATAGTATTAGTTATAAATCAATCTTCTGGCTGCACTAAAAAGTCTTTAAGGTCTCTCGTCTCCATATAATAAACACAATATCGAATGACTAATTATCAGTCTTCTTAGTAAATAAAATATAACTTAATCCATTGAAGAGATTAAAAGTATGGGACCAGGTTTTTAAAATTTGGGGTAAGTTTTATAGGAATCTGTCAAATTAAGAAAGACTAAATCAAAGGACTGTTAAGTGGCAATGAGGATATGGCAAAAGTTACACAGTACTGATTTTCAGATAAGAATAATAGCATCATTTTGAAAATATTTTCTAGCAATACTTGCTCACCCAGAAATTAAATCAGAATAGAAAAGGTAGACAATACTATGCGAGCCAATGCTGCATACTGGCAAGAGAAAAGAAGAAAATTAAAGAAGGGCAAAGTGTTCTGGGGGACATTAATGATTCTTCAGGATATTAATGAAATTATTCAGTACAAGTTTCAGGCTGGGAGAAACTATGGACTAGTGGTTAATATAAGATAAAGAATAGGTTCATAATGAAGAGGAAGTAAAACAGACTTGTGATTGTTCTGGCAAAAATAAACGCAAACTTAGAGGTCTGGGAAGTAACACACTTTTAAACTGTGTGATGAGTTAAGATGCAACAGCAAGGATGTTGGAGTAGGTCATACGTCTTCCTGCATCTAAGAGTGAGGAATGAGAAGAGAAAGCATTTTCCTTTGAATAATACATTTTGGGTAATACTGGTCTCTAGCAGAGGTTGGCAAAACTTTTTTCCTCCAATGGGACCAACAGTAAATATTTTAGGCTTTGTGGGTCTCATATTCTCTTTTCTTTTTTTTAAAGCAGTATTTTGAAAACATAAATACCATTATTAGTTCATGGCTCCCACAAAAACAGACCACTGACTAAATCTGATTCACAAGCAGCTTTCTCTGTTGTATAGGACAAATTCTGACTTCTTAGTTTCACAGAAAAGACATTTGTAACATAAACCAAATCTATTTCTCCTGTTGTGTCATCCCACACTCAATCCCAAATTTTAGTTGCAAAATTTTTCAGCTTCCTGAATATTGAGTTGAAGGCCTTTTTTATAACTCGGGATCCTTGCAACTACAAAGCCTTTCTCGATTTCTCATTTTATATTCATCACTGAAAATCCAGTCCAAATGTCACCTTTTAATATATGCATCACAATTTACCCCAGTAGTGATCTATTACCTTTGCTATTTAAAACTTCTTTTTTATTGTTCATATCTCCCTTAAAGTCTTCATCATACTGAATGATAATCCCATTACTGGCCTACCTCCACATATCCCCACTCCTGAGTGTCTACAGGAAGAAAGGTCTTATCCAACTTGGTATTCACACTCTCTCATACCAGTGCCTATTTGTATGCAGCACATAGCATAATGCTCAATAAACAGTCATTAATGAATAAACTACTTCATACAGTATACTTCATACTTGTTTATATAAATATCTGCATGATGACTAAGATGATACTTTAAAACTATTATCTATAATCATAATCGGATTCTACTGCTTTGTTCAAAAAAAGAAGAACAGCATTTTAATTTCACTGTGATTTAAAGAGAATTTTCTACTTTACATGCCTGGTTGTGTTCATGAGCTGTACAATTATCTGTTCCATTATATTCTGTAAGCTGTTCTCTTCTTTTTTCTCTAATAAGAATTTTATGAACATCATCTTCCAGTCTATTGAAGAATCCTCCATCATGAGATAAAGTCTGAGAACTCAATTCCTGTCAAAAATGAATTATGATTTACTATCATTTAACACAAAAGTGTATTCATTTAATAAACCTAGTCAGCCACTAAAAGGATTAAAAAAAAGAAAGAAAAATGATAGCTAAGATACAACCAACCACTTGATCCTTCCCTTATCTCCAGGAAATAAATAGTAGAGACAACATTTGTTAAGTATCCTCTTCTTACTTCTTTATATTTTTTAAGTTAGGTGTTGCTTGATTTAAAAACTTTTGTTATTCATATATCCTACAATTCACCAAACAAATCAGTGGTTTTAGAAATATATGCAGAGTTGTACAAAACCACCAAAGCAATTTTGTAACATTTTTATGACGCCAAAAAGAAACTACACCCATTACCATTCATTCCTTATTTCCTACTGATAGTACTCCCTAGCCCCAGGCAATGCTAATCTCTTTTGTCTCTTATAGATTTGCCTATTCTGGCATTTCACATAAATGAATCAGCCAGTGTAGACTTTTGTGACTGGTTTGACTTAAACTATTTTCAAGGCTCATCTATGTTATGACATCTATTAGTACTTTATTCCCTCTTATCCTATCCTACATTTTATTTCTCCATTCATTGGTTGATGGACATTAGGACTGTTGCTACTTTGGGGCTAATAGGAAGAAGGCAGCTGTGAACATTCATGCACAACACGTGCAGGTATGTTTTCAATTCTCTTGGGTATACACTTAAGAGTAGAACAGCTGGTAACTCTATGTTTAACCTTTTGAAGTACTGTCAGATAGTTTCTAAAAGCAGTCTATCAGTTTACAATCTCATCAACAGTTCAAGTTTTTCCATATTCCCACCGACACTTTTTGTCTTTTTGATTATGCTACCCTACTAGGTATGAAGTGGTATTTCATTGTGATTTTGAGTTGATTTTCCTAACAGCTAATGATGATGAGCATCTTTTTATATGCTTATTGGTGATCTGTGTATCTTTTTGGAGAAATATTTACTCAGATCCTTTGCCCATTTTTAAATTGGGTCACTTGTCTTATTTTTGACTTGTAAGAGTTTTGTTTTGTTTTTTTTTTTTTTTGAGACAGGCGCCTCAAGCTGTCCTCCTGGGTAGAGTGCTGTGGCATC